TTCGCATATAAATGATTCTAAGAATTTAAAGGATTAATTTTTATCAAAGTTAATTTTTTGAAAACAACTGTTTGATAACTTTGAATGAATAAATAAATGAATAAATGAACTTTGAATACAAATAATTTCCAGTTTATTAAATATTTTGAAAGTGAAAATAATTATATAAAAACATTTTTAACATGACCACCTAGAGCACTATTTCTGAAATCACTGTCTATTCCATGTTTATAATTAATGATTTAAATGATTAGTTTAATTGTAATTAAATTAGATATAAATTTAGTGGTATTTGATTTACTAGGGGTGGGGTTAGGGACATGCGAACGTAATTTCCTGAAATGTTTACAAGCGAACAATTGCGAACAAGAGGGGGGAGGGGGTCAAGATTTCTCAAAAAGTGCGAACGTAATATGTGAACAATGCCTAAGTGTTGGAAAAGATTTAAAACTAAAGATTGCTTAAGAAAACACAAAACATCCGTACATTTAGAAGCAAATCATTATTTCCACTGTTTTTGGCCTAAATGTCAGTATAAGACTCCATTTCAACATTGTTTAGATGACCATCAATCCACTCATACAAATAGCAAGCAATTTAAATGTGATTTTAAAAATTGTAATCATATATGTATCCAAAAGTCCAATTTGACTACACATGAATAGTGTTCATTTAAATGTGAAATTTATATGCAATTGGAGTGAATGTCACAAACAGTTTGCATCAAAGTATGGTTTACTTAAACATAAAAGATGTGTTCATTTGAAAGAAAAGGCTTTTAAATGTAATGAAGAAAATTGTGGCAAAAGTTTTACTCGAATCTAAATGAACACAAACGCATACATACGGGAGAAAAGCCTTTTATATGCGAATGGGTTGATTGTATTATTGTAATAATCAGGCTTTTACGCAATTATCTAATTATTATTCACACAAACGTATTGTACATTTGCATGAAAAGCCATTCACATGTGATGTGGAAGATTGTGGCAAAAAGTTTTCACAGAAACCACATCTAATTGCACACAAACGCCTTCATTTGGGTGTCAAGCCTTTTGTGTGTGATTTCGATGATTGTGACAAACATTTTAGAGTAAGACATGAATTAAATCGACATAAAAATGCTGTTCACTTAAATATATTGAAATATAAATGTAACTATAATAATTGTGACAAGAAATATGCACATCATGTAAGCCTGGTTCGCCATAAAAGCACACATTTTGCCAAATAACTATTTGTTTGTCAGTTCATTAATCTTATAAATAACAAAGTTTTTAAAAAAACTGATTTATTGCCGTATATTATAAGTGAATGATATAATAATAATGTTTATTATAATAATGTATAAAATACTGTATATTATACTAATGTTTTTCAATAAAACATTGTTTCAATATATTATAAGATTAGAGATCTCACTTAAACATAATTTATAAGAATATTAATTGTCTTAAAACTTATTTAATTCTCATAAAATTATTATTTTTAATTTATTGTATGATTATAATTATAATTTTTTAAATAAAATATAATGAAGTAATCAATAATATTCTCATAAAGTTCTTTGACTTTAAATAACATTTTAGTTTACATTATGATGTGTTTTGGCGTAAATATACGCAAACTCTTGAATATTGTATTAGAAATACAGGAATAAAGTATTAATATTGCAATGATATTTGCACATAAATGTACAGGTACAGGTAGTTGTAGAACAGGTAGAGTATATTTAATTTTACTTTTCATAAATGATAATTACATAAAATAAGTTAATATAAAATTAATGTATTCACACAAAGTCCATATTAGGACATTCAGAATATTCTTTATAATAATAATACATTTATTAAATAATAATTTGTTAAATAAAACAATTAAAATAATTTATTAAATTCACCAGGTTACTCTAAAATGCTTTACTGTATATCATGTGATGGGATGGCATAATAAGAGGGAAAGGCTTTTTAAAGTAAGAGTACTATGCATGTACACAAAATACTGAATACCTTATCACAAGGTTATTTTTGTTCATACAAGACCTTCATTTTCAAATAACATACGCCTATTCACACCATAACATAGTATAATATAATACAGTACTGAATGCCGTTTCATAGCAATGATAAGGGATTTTCGTGTTTTTAATTCATTTCTCTTATCATTTATTTCTTAATAACCTTATTATTAAATGTTGGGGTTATTAGAGTTTATTTGCCAGTGTTTGCGCTCGTAATCAATGTATTGATTGTATTATTGAGTGAGTGTTTGATGTATAAAAATGTCTCCAAAACACGAGTTTAAATAAACTCTCAAATATTTAATTTCTTTTATAATAAGATATTTGTGTGAAAACTATGTGTGAATTACGGCTATCCAGATGTGATCTACTATTTTGTGTGGTCTGTGGGGACAAAGCATTTGGTAAATGAATACAAAATTGTATTTTTCATTTAAATAATTTTATTATATGACACCAATTATTGCAGATATATTAGGTTATCTTAAGTATTGTAAAAATAATTATCAATTTTATTTGTTCAGGCTATAATTTCGATGCCATTACCTGTCCCTCGTGTAAGGTATTCTTCAGGAGGAATGCCTTATCAGGCAAAGTATGAACTGTTTGTTTAAAACTATGTTGTTATGTCATTTATAAGTAGCATCTTGTTTATTTATTTAGGAATTCAAATGTTTTTACGAAAATAATTGCAAAATAGATGTCTATTCGAGAAAGTCGTGCAAAAAGTGTCGGTTAGAGAAATGTGTGGAAAAGGGGATGAGAAAAGTATGTTGCTTATTTAATAGTAAACTATTTATTTAGAGCTAATTCTCTCTCTCTCTCTCTCTCTCTCTGTCTGTCTGTCTGTCTCTCTCTCTCTGTCTCTCTCCAAAGGATTATATAATAAATTTGGATGAAATGAAAGAAAGACGAAAACAAAAAATGGTTGAATTGAATGCCGATAGCATTGAAAGCAATGACACGTCTATAGACTCGACGACTGATAAGACATTAGGCGAGGGTTGCGATACTAATGACACGAATACCAGTACTCTTGAAATTGCGGACATATTTCTAGACATTGATATTGACATCGATATGATAGTAGACTACGACGACGAGGGGAACAGTAGTTCGCAAACACCAGAAATCCTAGATATTATAGACATAGACAGCAATAATAGTGATACCGAACCGGACTTATCAGTCATACCTATCGCAGCGCCGATAACTGCAAACAGTCATGAAATGAATGAATTAGAGATCAATAAACTACAGGAGCTGTTGAACGCCACGCATATATTTATAATAGTGATACCGAACCGGACTTATCAGTCATACCTATCGCAGCGCCGATAACTGCAAACAGTCATGAAATGAATGAATTAGAGATCAATAAACTACAGGAGCTGTTGAACGCCACGCATATATTTACTGAGCATGAGGTTCCCGTAGCACCCGAGCCTACAGTGGCCAGGGATTCCCATGACATCTATACTGTGGTTGGGGTTAATCTGGAGAGACAGGTCATGTGCGCCGTACAAATGTTTCAAAACCTTGGTACATTTGACACGCTATGCGAGAATGATAGGATTTCCCTTATAAAGTACGGCTGTTTCATCATGTTTTGTATGCGTTCACTACCGGCCTATGACTATACCAGCGACCACTGGACGTACCCTATCGTATGATATTGTTTTCTAAAATGTTTTATATCTATGTTACAATATTTTTAATTATTTTGTTTTAATTGATTTGATCAGGATAACGAGAATTCAATGATACTTACATTAATAGTCTACAAAGGTATGCGAATATCGTACCGTAAATTCGCCCACAAAGTGAGGGACAGGGTCCTTAACCTGAGGCTAGGTCATCATGACGATCTGGTATTACATTATTTAATCAAATCATTGCTAACAACCCTAATAATTATTTGTTAATTAATAGTTAACAGCTATCTTACTATTTAATCCTGACCGACCCATGCTCACGCACCGGGAGTTAGTAAAGTAAGTCAAAAATAGTTATATATTTTTATTTATACATTGTATTCAATAAGAATTTTATTATTCCTAATCTAATAGATTACAGCAGAATATATACATGTATTTACTTCATCGCTATATACTATTGAAATATCGCAAGCAATCGGAGTCACAACAACACCACAAATACTCAAAACTCATGAAGTGTTTGAAGGATTTAAATATTTTAGGCGAAAAACATTTGGAAAGTATTAAGAGGACAGACGCCCGGAGTGTTAGGCAAACCATATTGAGAGAGATATTTGAGTTGAAACCCAGATATTATTAATTTATACAAAATGATTCATTATTTTATTATTCTTAAGTATACTCTGTACATACTAATTTAATTAAAAATTAAAATACTGTATAAAAAATATTCTACTGCATGTAAATTACCGTACTTGTTTTGCCACAACATTCAACATTGCATTTGACATTTCTTATTTAATTCACATTATTCTGGTGTCGGTTTAAGCGATATTTTGATGTAAACTGTTTGTGGCATTCACTCCAATTGCAAACAAATCTAACACTTAAGTGATCTCTAAGTTCATGTCGGTGTAAATTAATTTTGTGGTTAAAACATTTTCCACAATTATTGAATTGACAAATAAATGGTTTTTCACCCGTATGTATGATTTTGTGTTCATTGAGTCTGTTTTTCACTCAATCTTTTGCCACCATTTTCTTCATTGCATTTGAATTTTCTGTCATTCAAATGAACACTATTTTTGTGTCGATTTAGTTTAGATTTCTCAGTAAATGTTTGCTTACATTTACTTTATTTGCTTTAAAACTGTATTTTATGTATTATCAATAAAAATAAATGTTTAGTCTCATATAGGCAAATTCCCTTATAGGCAACAAATTTTTCTGGCAAATACGTGTTGCTCTTAAAGGACCTTTACTGTACTTTGAAAATTATATAACAATTAAATAAATTTATAAAGTACTGTAGTCCAAAGTATTCAAACAGTTATATTCAAAAATTACCTGGAACAAAGCTTCTAATAGTATAAATTTATATTATTTCTTAGTAGTGTACAACCATTAATTTATAAATAAATAATTAATATATTTAACAACAAATAAATAATTATAATTAATTGTTTATAGTATTCACATGTTATCATTTATCATAGATTAATGAAAACATGTTTTCATGGTAAATTACAAAAAAAATTTCTAAATAATTATTAATAATAATTTATTACAAATAAGTAATTTAATTATTCAAACTTGGATATGATTTAAACTTAAATAGAATTTTATTACTGAATATTTATAATTACATTAATTTAAATATGAACTCTATATTCAGTTAATTATCAAATTTGTAGATAATCATTAGTACCATAATTACCATGATTCATTACAGTGAATGGTGTTTCAATTTGTCAAACTTTAAATTTGCTCTATATTTATGTGTAATACAATTGTGTTGGGAATGGGGTCTGTGTTTAGATGTGAACACAACCTCTGGTGTAGTGAGAGGACAGACCTTTCATGTATTGAATACAAGTGTTAATGAGTTTTTGAATATACCTTACGCTGAGCCACCGGTCGGTGCCCTCAGATTCAATAAACCCCTGCCATTGAAGGAACCAATCAAAGTAATTATTTTATAGTAATGTTACTATCATTTTTAAATTAGTTAATCAAGGTTATAAGTTGGACATAATTTTAAAATGTATGGTTTCTTTAAAAAATAGCATATAATCGATGGCACAAAACCTGGCAATTCATGTCTCCAAACACCCTATGATTTAAAACTACAACAAAGTGAGGACTGTTTGGTACTAAACATATGGACACCAAATGCAACAAAATCTCTGAAACCAGTCATGTTTTGGATATACGGNTTAAAAAATAGCATATAATCGATGGCACAAAACCTGGCAATTCATGTCTCCAAACACCCTATGATTTAAAACTACAACAAAGTGAGGACTGTTTGGTACTAAACATATGGACACCAAATGCAACAAAATCTCTGAAACCAGTCATGTTTTGGATATACGGAGGCGGTCTGAATGGGGGCACTATTTTTGATTTCAAGTACAACGGGTCTTATTTGGCGGCACACGATGTGGTGCTGGTATCAGTCAACTATAGAGTTGGAAAGTTAGGCTTTCTATACGGAGGTAACGGGTCGACAGCACCGGGAAATGTGGGTCTCTATGATCAAGTGATGGCTTTGAAATGGGTATNCGGAGGCGGTCTGAATGGGGGCACTATTTTTGATTTCAAGTACAACGGGTCTTATTTGGCGGCACACGATGTGGTGCTGGTATCAGTCAACTATAGAGTTGGAAAGTTAGGCTTTCTATACGGAGGTAACGGGTCGACAGCACCGGGAAATGTGGGTCTCTATGATCAAGTGATGGCTTTGAAATGGGTATTAAATGTTATACTAGTTATTAGTTTATTAATTTATAAAATAATCAAAATTAAGGTCAGAGAAAATATCCATTCATTCGGTGGGGACAGGGATCAGATCACAGTATTTGGTGAGAGCGCTGGTAGTGAATCCATATCAGCACTGATAGTATCGCCGGAAACTAAGGGTCTGTTCCGTCGGGCTATTATGGAAAGCGGCGCTAATTTGCATTATAAGGGACGACAACAACACACAACTGATGAGGCTTTCAATGCATCGCAAACTATAGCCAAAGCTCTGAATTGTAGCGAAGGTTTTGATGACAATCAGTGGTTGGACTGCTTGAGGGAAAGGGATGCCAAAGAGTTTAGTAAATTTTCTGAATCTACATTCCCTTTGGAGGGAACGGACTTTTTACCAATTTCTATAATACAGGCTTTTGCCGACTCAAAGTATATGCAAGGTTTGAATTTTATTGAAATTTAATTTAAAATAGTCTATAAAATAAAATAATTATTTAAATGTTTAAACACATTGTCATAGACCTGGACATAATGGCGGGTGTCAATAGAAATGAGGGCTCAAAGCTAGCTTATGGAGCTTTCCCACAACTGCATAGTAATATCACTGATAAAGACTTTGATGACTTGGTGGTCGCCATAAATAGCTCATACCATGGATTAAAATTACCAAATTTGAGACAATTTTATCTCAAAGATGACCACAAAAATCACTCTTCGGATGTGTTAAGGCAAGCGTTTTACGATCTTTTCGGTGATGTTGGCATCAAATGTCCGACATATCTGACGGCCAAACAATACGCCAATTATGCCATCAAAAGTGGTTCAAAAAGTCGTGTTTACATGTATGAATTGACTTATCAGTCTCAATTTGCTAAAATATTGGGTTGCGGTGAGAATATGGGTATCTGTCATGAATCGGATGTGGAGTTTGTGTTTGGACTTCCCCTATGGGTCGACAAACTATACCCCAAAACTCATACCCAACTGGACATGGATTTCAGTTTATATGTCATGAAACTGTGGACTGATTTCGCTAAATATGGGTTAATATAACGAGCATATTTGATAATATTTCGTGATTACCTAGATAATTATATTTAATATTTTGTTTGCTATAGTAAACCGGATGACCAATGGCCCCATATATTGGATGACAAGAACAATATCAAAATCAAAGACTTGAATCCAACGAATACGAGTCGAGTATTGGATAATCCATTTGTTGACGATTGTGAAGATTATTGGATCACTTATTATTTAAATTTATGCTAATTGTTATGTATATTTCTATTTTATAAGTATAAGCACTTAATAAATCATTAATGTTTCAAAATATTACTTTTTAATTGCTTTAGCCAATTCATATTAGAAGTTAAATTATTTTTAGATTAATACTTGACATTTAATTTACGTTCATATTTACTATAAACCTCTTAACCTTTGATTAAATATTGATAATAAAGTTATTAAGAAATAAGAAAAGTAACTTATTAAAGTTAGTATTTTCAGATTTACTCAATTTATGTGACACTTTTAATATCATTATAAAAATAATTTTATACAAAAGGTTTTTGTATTAAAAATGTTAATTAAATTTGCATTTTATTTATGTGTAATTCAATTGTGTTGGGAATGGGGTCTGTGTTTAGATGTGAACACAACCTCTGGTGTAGTGAGAGGACAGACCTTTCATGTATTGAATACAAGTGTTAATGAGTTCTTGAATATACCTTATGCTGAGCCACCGGTCGGTGCTCTCAGATTCAATAAACCCCTGCCATTGAAGAAACCAATAAAAGTAATAATTTTATTGTACTATTATGTTGTAATGTAATCAACTAAGGTTAGCAGTTAACATAATTTAAAAATAAATTATTTTCATTAAAATAGCATATAATCGATGGCACAAAACCTGGCAATTCATGTCTCCAAACACCCTATGATTTAAAACTACAACAAAGTGAGGACTGTTTGGTACTAAACATATGGACACCAAATGTGGACAAACCTCTAAAACCAGTCATGTTTTGGATATATGGCGGGTCCCTGAATGAAGGATCTATATTTAAATTACTGTACAACGGGTCCTATTTGGCCGCACATGATGTGGTGGTTGTGTCGGCTAACTATAGGCTCGGAAGGTTAGGTTTTCTATACGGCGGTAACGGGTCGACAGCACCGGGAAATGTGGGTCTCTATGATCAAGTGATGGCTTTGAAATGGGTATTAAATTTGGTATAATTTGTATACAATTTTCTATTAATGACATATTAAAAGGTCAGAGAAAATATCCATTCATTCGGTGGGGACAGGGATCAGATCACAGTATTTGGTGAGAGCGCTGGTAGTGAATCCATATCCGCACTGATAGTATCGCCGGAAACTAAGGGTCTGTTC